TTATTAGATATATTCTCACGAAAGTTTGACCATTTTGAAATAATCTTTTGATACATGCATTTCAAGTACTTTTTGTTGTATTATTTTTTCACTACCGGTGCTAAAGTTATCCTGATTACATTTGTTAATTCGTCATGAAACCATGATATCATTTTCGTTCTATAACGACTGGGTTTGATCTTAGCGCTTCACAATGCATTGCACCGTAAATGACCTTCCAATGTATATTGTGTACAACGTGTATTGTTGTTCATAAACTTCTGCAGGATTCAATAATGTTTGGGATTTCCGTGTCCAGCTTGTATGCTTGTACCTATTTACTACTAACTTTCTTTGTTTTATGAATTATTGGAGAAAAGTATTTGAAATTGTTTAACTTCCTATCTACTAAGCTCCCGAAGGAGAGCAGTACTCTTGCAAATAAATAAATAATAGTATTCACAGCCTGCACGGAATAACTCTCTTTTTTAGTGGGGTTTCATGCAGGTTTCAAAGCCACCATAGAATTATAAGAGATGCCGTGCTAGAGGCTCCGGAAATTTCGACCACCTGAGGTTCTTTAGGTGCACGTAAATTTAAGTACATGTCCCTTAAGCATTCTCGCCTCCACCTAAAATGTGGCTTCCACTGCCCAGATTCGATCTCGCGACTTGCGAGACAGCGGTATATCATCATACCTACTAGGCTACTGTGGCAAGTGGAAAAAGAGTTATTGGATGTACCTGTTGAGAATAATGTTTTGCTCTTTTTTTCCAAGCCAATCATTTTCTTAAGAATACGTTCCTCTCTGCATCTCCTTGAAGTCCTGGTTCTCAAAAGAGGGCCAAGAAATGGTGTTAATATAACCACCACAGTCTTCTACTGGTTATGGGGCTTCTCTGGTGACCTGTCGGTCACAGCATCAATTTCCGACCGTAGCGGCCACCTTTTAGACGGAGGGAACACAAAACAGCCCAGTATTTTTGCAGTTAGGAGCACTTTAAGACACCGAAAGTTCTCGAAATTTTCGCATCTCTCCAGTACAGCGCTTTTCATAAGAATATTGTGGTTTTGGCAAGTGCAGAACCAAAACATTATCTTTATATGTACTGTTAAAACGTATCCGACATAAGCGTGACCAAAAATAGAATAAAATTGTTTTCTTCTTTTTCTTTTTTTCTCAACTTGGAAGTCTGTTATGCTTGTTATCTAATTAGACGAATCGCAGCACTTACTGTATTGAAATTAGGTTGAGTGCTGACACACCACTAACAACATCTGCTGTCTGCAAAGTTTTTCCTCACTTTCGTATGACTCTAAAGCGCCTTTTAGGCGCGCCTTATTCTGACCAAGCACAGTGCTCAGACTCACTCCGCTGTCTTCCCTTGTGACTGTAGCGTTCATTGAGACGCTGACCAAAGCGAAATTCGCTGTAGCTGTTGGCGGAGCGTTCCGCATCAATTCTCCATGGCGGTAAGAGAACATATTTGACATGCTGCGGCTAATACGGTTGAGAGCAACTTCTTCGCCTGGTTGGTACTACTTACTGTTCGAAATTCGGTCACTAGTAGATATAACAAGGATTACTGGAACGCGACAGCATGAACGTTCATATTGTCGTGTTCGCGTCTTTCTTGCGTGTGTGTTATTGTTACGAGTGGCCAAATGTCAAGCAGTGTAATGCGGGTGCCGATGCCAATTCGGATTACGTGGATGAAATAATGGTTCGGTGCTGATTAGTGAAAATTTATGAACCACTGTGACATTGCTATTGAAGCAAAAGGTTTGGAGGGTCGTTATGCTTTGCCTTTAAGATTTGTACGCGATAGCAATAACGTGTCTCTAGTGGTTACTTCAACAACGCGATAGCAATATCCTGCCCCTAGTGCTTACTTCAACTACTTGGTACATACATTTTATCGTATAATGTTGCTCGAGAGGTTAAAATTGTGATTATTATCATGTAATCGATAAATGTTCAAGCTTTGGCATTTCGCTGCACTCTTTGTGATGGGTAACATGGTTTAAACCACAAGCAATTAGGTGCGTTATCAACTTTCTATGCGTGGCCTTAAAGGAATATGCTCACGAACGTTCGTACTTTGTGTAATGGGTGACTGGCTTTAAACCACGAAATAATTATTATAATCCCATGTTCTTACACCAACGGTAGTCTACGCTTACACCATGGAACAATGGATTTTGTATTGTGAAGCCTGTACACAGGATGCGTGTGTTTGTGAAGCATGATAATTTTTTGCTCTGATCATAAGCCGGGGAAGTTGTTTTAACTGTATTTGCAAGCAGAAGCTTGGCTGTGTGGTAGAATACCTGCTTACCACGCATAGGCCTCGGTTTAATGCGCACTTGCACACAAACACTATATTATTTATTTTTGCTTTTTTTGGTCATGGACAAGGTGGTGGTTTCTTGCTGACAATGAACGACGTCAACGCCAAATTTTCAGCGAAACAAGCTCTCTAACGCTAGCGCGATAAAATGACAACTGCGCAAGATAACATGAAGTTTCTTTACCGTTATGCGAAGCACAGCAAACAAAAATGAGCGATGCCAGAGCTATTCAAACTGCTGCCTTTCTTTATTAAACATAGGCAAAGGCAGTATACCCTAACGGCGCTTGAGTGATTATGTATACCTGAGCTTCATTCTCTCTTGAGTGTCAGTCTGGCGATGACACCTTCGCACGCCTCATTTACTTTTATTTCTCCCTTTCTTTCTTCTCTCGTGCACACCACGGCGGTGGCGACAGGTGGGTGCGTGGACGGTCGACGTCGGCCTGACTGCTTCCGCGCAGTACACGCCCACAGTTTCGCCGCCAGCGCCGTCGCTGGAGGCGTCGAGCCAGGCCACAGGCGCCACCGGGAAGCAACGAGGGGGCAGCGAGTCGCGCCGACTGCCGGCCGACTTGAGGCACCGGCAGCTCCTTCGTGTCACCACCATCGTCGTAGGTGTCCCGACGTAAGACGATCAATACTGGCCCCCCGCCCGCGCCGCCGCCTCGTGGCACGCCGTTGACACGTCAGCGGGGGGAAACGCGGCGGTGCCCTGCACTGCAGAACTACTTAGTTTCGTTCGCTTAGCATCGACGAAGAAACTTCGAAAAATAATATAAGGAACAATAGTAAAAGAAAAGAATCAATAAGAATGGCGGGGGATCAAAAAAAACGGCGTGAGAAGTCGCAACAACTTCAATCTAATAATACAGAGCTTTAAAGTTATCTCCAGGGGAAGAGTATATATCAACAGTATTAAGTGCCGCAATGAATTCGTAGAAGGATTTAAATATAAACCACGTACTCCACGAAATTTGTGCCTGCAGTATATAATGGCAGACGTGTGTGTTTTGCTATCTTTGCTTTTTCAGGGCTATACGTAATATTTATGCCGCTATTACCTCACAAAGACATTTAATTATTGATACCTATATTTATCGGTAGAAGTCGCGAAATAGTAATAATAATAATTCTAGGCACCTTATAATACCGCCATGATACAGATTTAATGGGGCGCTGAAATGTGCTCAATTGATTTTTGTGACGAAAATAAAATGAAACAAGAGCCTGCGAATCGCGTGAAACGCGAAATAGAAGAACGCTTGCTCTTTGTTGCTCAAACGCTTTCTCAAACGTCCATTCGTTCATACGCGGCTTTCGATACACGCCTTTGTTCGTGTATTCCCGCCAAATAGACCTCTACAACAGAATATCGAGTTTCATGATCCTCGATGGACGTGTTAGCGGGGATTTTTCTCGAGGCGTCTATCGAGGAAGGCGAAGTGAAGAACAGGAAGAGTCATAGATGATTGACGAGTCGGAGTGCTGGCTGTGTAGCAGTTTTCAGGTGTTCATACTCGCGTAAGGTGATTTTCATGTGGCTCGCACAGGGCTGTAGCCTTGTGCGAATAAAAGGAAAAAAGTAAAAAAAATAGTACTTGGAGAGTATTCCTTTGCATATTGTGATGAAATGGGAGCACGAAAATGTTTGTCTTATTTTATTTTTGTTTTTCTCACCTGTTCATTGCTGTGATGGGTGCCATTTAGCGAAGCCGCTCAAGTACTCCCCAAATTCCACTAACACTCACTGATTCACGTGCTTTCCCAAACAAAAAATAGCATTAGGAAAAATCAAAGATTATGAGATAACTGACACAGAGCAATCCCCGCACATTAGTAATATCAACACGCGTCCGGTCACTAAAATTCTACTGAATATACGACGCATACTGTAACACAAGCTCCACAACTGAAACAGTTTCCATAACACCTCAATTACATTCAGTGTATAAGTGCACAGGCTATAGTGACCGCTTCCGGAATTCAGTTCGTGCCACATGCTATGCGATAGAGTGAAAAAGCTCAAAGCATTTTCAGGCGATCGTCAAGAAAGATTGAGAGCCTCAGCAGAGACCGGGCGTCGTAGGGCTACAGGGAAAGAGTGCCTATCGAGAAATATTTTAAGCAGCAGACAGATGCTGCCAGATAGTGGCGCTCACTTCCAACAGCAGTGGCTCCAACGAGTGAAGGATGTGAGGAAACATTGATGCTTAAACCTTCTTTTGAAAGGCTCAAGTCGATAAAAAAAATACAAGCCTGCCCGATAACGCACTGCATCTTTCTAACACCTGGCGTCTGTCTTTCTTTTTCTCTTATTTTCGACTTACCCTTTCTCCTTCCTCCATCTCGTTCTGCATGTTCCTTATTCTCTTGCCCTTGTTTTGCTTCTTCCGCTTTTTTTTAACTCTTCAATTTTTTTATCCTCCACGACATTTTGCTCACCCTGACCACTCGCTCACTTTCTCCCGAGTAAACTTTCGTGTCCCATTTTTCTTGTCCGCTTCTTTTATTTATATTATTATTTATTTTTTGGCGAAAAAAATCTCATCGCTGGTGCGCTTTTTTCCCGCGCTCTTCGAGTTCAACCCCCCCTCTTCCCCTTTTCTTCCACGCTGTTATGACTTCCGCGCCACCGGCCAGCGCCCTCCGTATGTGATAGCTCGTCGCATGGACTCCGAGGGTCGACGGCCGTCGGTCAACGGGTCGTCGACGCGATCTGCGCGAGTTCGTTACACGGGCTTCGCTGTCCAGCTGCTGGACATGGTGGCCTCGGCGCTTGGACTCGAGTACGAGATACGCGCGTCGGCGGACGGCTCCGACTACGGGACGCTGTCTGCGCGCGAAGGAAGATGGAGTGGGCTGGTGCGAGAGGTCTTCGAAAGGGTGAGTCGCTTGGGCCGTACCAGAAGAAACGAAAAAAAATAATAAAGTTATTTTCTTCACGCAGCCATTGCCATTTCAGACGTTTGACTTTGCAGCAAGAAGCTCGCACTTATGTAGCGGCGCTGCATAGGAAGACAGTTGAGCAGAATGTAAAAGAGCACTGTTTGTTTTATCAGTTATATTGTTATACACAGTGCATATACACGATCCATTCACAAAAACACACTTTTGTGATGGCACGTGAAAATGAAGATGGACTATAATTAAGGACCATATAAACACATCGTATCAAGGCTGATACAGAAAGAGAAACAAAAGTTAGCACTTTTGACTTGCCTCACCTTCTATAAGCCAGCTTGCATTTGAGAGAGGAGAATATTGAGATAAGCTATATATGTATGGAAATATATCCTCATAAATCATCATAAACACAAAATGTAAATTTAGACAAACTATGCGAAATCAAAATTAGTACACAGAAAAGTAGCTTTGAAGTCCGTTATTGCAACTACACACGATTTAGAAGCTGGTAATTTCGAATTTTCTGAGCTGGCTGCTTGACGTCTTTTGATAACGCATTTTACTGCCAATTCTTGTGATTATTTAGTCCTTGTGGGTTACCTGCAATGTCAGCGTAACGTTTAATGTGTCGCGAATTGCAGATTCGCGAAAAGTGAGGCCTTACATTGTGGCTGGGTACAGAAGCCTACGCAACATTGCGTAACTGGATGCGCTATGCAACCGCGGAATCGACACCAAGCCATTAAGAATTCCGGGGAAATTATGCGGCTGCCAGAGTGGTCATTTCTCGTTTTCCTAATGGAATCTTCACAAAGACAAGTGGCGACTTCTCCAGAGTATAGGGAATGAATGGAATATGTATTATAAGTAAATATTCATCAATCTCAACCACTTAGAGGGGTCGAAGAACGCCGACGAGCGCAATGCGGTGCTACGTCCTCCAATAATAAAACATTTCGACGCTACTGTCATAGGACAGCGCCAGCACCGTGGGGAGTTGGCAGACGCCTACCATAAGATGGGGACCTGTCAAAACAACAGAGCCCATTCTTCTCACCCAGGCTCTGTACTAGACGACTTGAAAGCAACCTTCATCAGCTGGTCCAACATTAAGGTCCAGCAGGCCTTAGTACATAGAACTAAGGCAGGTTTAACGAATGGGGGTCCTAGAAAGGGCACTCCACCTATAATTTGTAGGAGACGCTAAATATAAGTCTTTCTTATGTCATTGAATTAATTTTGCCTACACCTGCTGTGATCACGAACCAAGGTTCAGGTCTCGGCCTCGGCAGCCTCATTTCGCAACGGTGACGACTAAAAACAGCTGTGTACTTGGACTTTGGTCACACCAATTCCTACCTTGTGCTCGTATTGGTCTTAGATGCAATTAAAGCCGGAGCGCTGCCACTGGGAGTGTTTGGCATTCATTATTGATGCCTCTAATGTTCCATTTCATGAATAGGATGTCTCAAGGTATCGAATGACTTTCTGTATAGAACAATGCAAACACAGCACGCGAACAATGCCTGAAATTTTGTAGACAACAGCGTTTTACTGGAGAAGCAGCCAACGCTGTCATGTCGGCTGCTGCCTAAATTTTAGGCTCTCAACTTATAGGGGTACACATGCCACTCAAGTTCTGCTATGAAGCTTCCAAGAAGCTTGCCATGGCGATTGCGCGGGTGTTATTATTATCTACGATGTACGCTCCCCACTTTTTTTGCGTTTTTCTACTAAATACCGGGGACAGCCGTGTTATTGAAAGATGTATTCGTTCATATAACAATTAAGATTTCATTCAGGTAACAGCAGCGTTCTCAGTGAGCAGAGATTCGCAGCCTTCTCCGGTATAGTACCGTTATTTTCTTGAAACCACAAATACATACATTTTCTCCTTGTTCTTTGCTTCGCAAAGCAGTTAAAGCGTTTCAACGTTTTTGGAGGGCAATCGACCTGTTCCAGTGCCTTACATTACGTTGCACCGCGCAAATGGATTCTAGTTAACTCTTCCTCTGTATCTCTCAATTTTGTGTACCGCATGAGTAAAGGTTTAAAAAATGCCCTTATGCTTTCACGAGTGCTTCCACTTTAAATGATTCTAAGTCGAAAGCCTTCATTTTTTTCTTCTCAGTTGATATACTAATCTTGCCCCGGCCCTCTTTGACACCTTTCAATGTATTCCGTGGCTCCTTCCTTCCTTGGTACTTTCCTTGGCATCATTGCCTGCTATTTCCCATTATTAATTTTCGGCACCTTACATAGTTTTGCGCTCCCTATGTCGAAGACACCTCACCTGGTTTCAATCTTGCCACATTTCATCGAGCTACGATGCCATGCAATGGCACGTCATGCCACGTGACATCGTTGGTCTGTGACGTCAGCATGGCATTACATCATGTCGTCTTCACGTGTTTTATTTTCGCATCCCTTGTTCATGACGATGCCCACACAGATGGTCAAACTTCGCGTTTTATGAGGTATTTGCGGCTTTGGCCTTAGTAACAAATAGATGGATGCAAATATCGGACAATAAATGTAGCATACGTCATTCGTGTTTTTATTCCTATCTTCGGCCGTTCTTTCTATGCACACTTGTCTCTCGAGCTCTATGACCTACCACAACGTGCGTCATAGAGCTTCATCGTAGAGATTTACTCATAAGAGCATAAAATCGTCTTAGGCACGCTCCATTATTTAGGTATAGGCCCATAAGCAGAGCAGCTGTTTGCGGAAAATGCATGCATAGATCTATGTATACGCATCTGGGCGGTATAGTAGTGGCGCCAACCACTTCAAGAACATTTTCCCCGGTTTATTTCGATAGACGCAGTTCTTTTCCTTCGTCGTCTATTCACTACCACGTCTCTATGTATGGCTCGCCGTCGCCCAAGCGTGTTATCCGGCCATTTTGTAATGCCGCCGGCCAATTGGCCGTCACACTAAATACCGGGTATGGCGGAGAGAGATGGGGTTGCTTCCAACTGTTTTGTTATTTTGCTTTTCAGCAAGTACCTAATGTTTTCGGTCACTTAGATTTTTTTTGTGTGTGTTTGCGTGTAAAGTAGCGAGAGCTCCGAAGAGTATATAGTCTGAAGGATCGTTGTACTTTTTGGAGAAAAGATGAATTACTCAGACGACCAGGCCCCTCCCAGCTGATCGATGATCACCTAAGCGTTCTGAAAACCTAATTGAATTTAGGCTGGACTCCACTCTTTCATCTATTCCTGACGGGGTTACGGTGTATCCGAAAACCAAGGTCTCTCACGTCAGTTTTTTTTTACCTAGCCATTCTTTTTTGAAACAACTATGTAGTTGTTCTTTTGTTACATACTCTGCGTAAAATCATTGTCTTGATCCGTAACCAAAAAAAAACGAAAACTCGCAGTGTCTGCAGTATCTAGTCTCAAGTTTCGGCGGTTTTGCCTTCAATAATAGCTTCATAACGTTCCAGCAGTCCCCCCCCCCCCCCCAACTCTTTTTAATGCAGAGAACAGTGTTGATAACTCCCGTTCTTCGAGCCCCCAGTGAAAAACCCAGACTGAAAGTTTCCGTAGCACTAAACGGGAGAGCGTTATTTAAATTCGAGGGGCTCATAATGATTTTACTACATTTTCTTTGGGTTCGTAACCTCTGATGGCATGCCGAAAGACTTGTGGGTTATACTCGAAGAAGCCATGTTTATCTTTTAGTAGAGAACCCTAGTCGGGCGACGGTAATGGGGCAAGAAAATTGAACTTCCTTGGCTTCATAGCAAGGTGCTTACCAGGAAAGTGTTTCTGTAGTTGTTTGTTCGTTTTCCTTTTGTACTCGCATTTTCACAGCTAAAGATCTCTCGGAAACAGCCCCGGTAGAACGGTCATTGAGAAGAAACGGTCCCAGCATTTAACGAAAGTAAACTGGGTTTCCGTAATCCTGGCTTCATTCGTGGCGTCGTAACGCCGAAGAAAGGACTAAATGTTTTTCCCGCTTATTGCCAGCGCCGAAAATACAACTGCAGAAATCGCACTAAAAGGGTCGATTCTCCTCTGATGACTGTACGAATCCTGTTTATATAGTCGGCGTTACTTTTTTGAATTCGTAGGTTCACAGTTCTTTCTATTTTTTTTTCTTTAAGATCTTGAGACACTTGCAGTACAACGTTGTACACGATCGCGGTGCAATATGATTGCATGGCCGTATCAATTTCCTTTTATTTATTTCATGCTGTAAGCTTGGGGATGCATATAAGCCGGTGCGCTGCATTTTCACCGGCACGCGGCATTGCCTTGACGGCCCTAAGTCGAATTGTACAACCGCATCAGCCCTGACCGCACAGACATTGCGGTGCCCGCACGGCACCCCGTGAAGTGCTGTAGCACCCGAGACTATACTCGGCGCTTCTGGTTCTTGTTAATCCAGGATAAAGTAACCAACCACCACATATGAGAACCTTATTGCCAAAATTAAGCAGAGCAGCCGGTGTATTAAGCCGAACCCGTCACACTTTTCTTGTTAACATTAAAAGAATGTTATATTTCGCGCTCTTCAACTCTCACTTATATTATTGCATGGTAATATGGGGAAACAGAACATTATCGAACTTACAGCAAATATTGTTGGTCCAGAAAAAGCACTTAGTTCAATAAGAAACGTTTCGTTTCTATAACACACCAGAACCTTTATTCCACAAACATAAAACTATGAAGATTCACAACATATACAAGCGTAAACTACTGAGAACATACAAAAATGCCACATTAGGAAGAACACAGCTATTCGAAGAAATTGCAAATATTCGAGCAAATACAATTTTCTATCCTTTCAGGTATCACCCACTCTACCACGTTCCTTTCTCGTGTACCCATTATGGGAAAGAAAAACTTAATTATGTACTCGCAACCACACTAAATGAACTAGAACAAAGAAATGTTGACGTTCTTACTTTTACCAACAAAACCTTACTAGATCTGTTTATGTAAATGTATTAGAACTACTCATGCCTGTATATTTACAATAGCTGGTTTCACTAAAGTGATTGTAACTTAAAACATACATTGATGTTTTTTTTCCATTAGAACACCGTAGTCTACATAACTACTTTTGGTAATCGCATTGTGTATACTGTGGCTATATAGACTTGTTAGATGTTTTGCCCTCTTACT